TGCTGTTTGTAAACTGAATCATTAATTGGTAAGTATCTAGTGACAAGATATTTATGTGTTATTTACCTGTGAGCTGGCTAGAGCATACAACCAAAATTCTTATATATACATTTTTGTACATATTTTTCTTTGGTAGCCACTCATAGTCCTTGGTTCCAATTCCTTACAACAAATCTGTTGGTTTCCTAGGTAACCGGACTCACCTATAAGGTGACTTTTCAAATGACAACTCCATAATAGTTCAAACACGTAAAAATCCAAAATCTCCTGGTAGGTCAACCAGAGGTGCTTGTCTCCATGTTAATAATACTTAGGATACCTAACCCTTAACTGTACCCCACAATTTTAAAATAAAAAATATGTTAAAAAAATAATAATACTTAGGGACTTTATGCGGGAAGTATATTTTGTGACAAAACTTTAACAGAAATAGAAATAGAAAGAGAACTAGGAAACAAATGGTGTATTATTTGGAGGTTAAGGAACTTTTACAGATTTTATAAGTAAGACACATTACTTCTCTTTATTTTAGATATCCTTAATAATTTCAATATTATACATTTTTCTGTTTGGCACCAAATTGTTTTGGGCGAGCAACACCAAAACATTATATTTGACAAGTTCATAGGAATATTTTGGCTAGAAAGAGAATATTGCACATTCCTCTATGACTGGTATTAGATTTGTGAACAAAAGTCAAAAACTACTATCTACAAACTGAACAGGAACTTGTGATCTCAGTAAACTGATGCCTGTGACTTCTGGAGATTCCTAGATATCACCTTGGGTCCATTTTAACCCATTAGTTTATTCTTTAAGTAAAAAGAACCTTAGATAATTTAATATTTTTTCTTGAAAAAGGAAAGTGGGCCTTGATTTAAGAATAAAAATTCTGACCTCTCAAGGGAAATTCTAGATTGCCTTTTTCTCTCCTTAAGTTTCTTCACTTCATGCTTTAATAGAGGTTTGACAAGGAATAACATGCTGCTTTAGGTTTTTACATCTCTGTAGACTTCTCTGGGCTCTTCTCTTGCTATTACCAAGAAGATCCAGAAAACAAACATACAAAAAGCCCCATAAAATTAAATGATTTCGCCAATAACTCTATATCTTGTTCTACAGGCAGCTTAAATTGGGAATGGGATCTACTCCCTTTGCTTAACTTGGACAAGCTTGGCTCCTGGCTAAGCAAAGGACTATTAACTCTCATAATCCTACTCATTTGTATAGCATGGCTCAGACATGTAATCTCTACAGTATTAAATGCTGCTTTACAGTTGCCGCCTTATCAAATGGTTGATAAATTATCACTCAAAACCAACAGCAAAACAGGAAAACTTGACACTTTCATAACTTCCCCTAGATATTTGATACATTAATGAGACACCTCAAGTAGGAGTAATGTTTTGGATTAATCACATCCCCAAATGTTAATAGCCTGTCTTTTAGCTCAGACTGAAGAATGACCACCAAGGGTAATTCTGACACCTGAAATCATCTGTAATTATACACTTTAGTGCCATTAGTATAACATTACTATTCCACTATCATTATCAACACAACTTTACTATTCCAGAAAACTCTGTCTTTGAAAATAACAGTTGTAAATAACTTATTATTTATTCCAGAGACTTCTGGAAACAGTCATTGATGTTTAAATAGAAAGTGTCAAAAGACAGTTTACATGCCAAGACTCCCAGAATTTCTGGCCTTGCTATGTTGAATCAAGCCACCACATTAAAAGATCTGCTTTTCAAAATCTCATAAAAATCCTGACTTTGCCCTTTCTTTTCAGAAACCAAGACTTTGCTGAAGAGGCATTTTCCCTTACTATAATACACTCAACCTTGCTATCAAAGGGTTTGATTATATTTTTAAGGAACCAAAGGAAAGTTACACCTCTTCTTTTGACAAAGCTACCCAGGTACTTCTTTGGATAATTCTAGATAAGCTCTATTAAGTTCTAACTCTTCTTCTTTCTCTAGGATCTACTGATCTTCTGTGTTGACACATTTTTGCATATGTTAAATAAGTTGATTATAGTGTTCTTTATGTTGGTTGCATTTTGGAAATGCTGACCTTGAGAATAATTAGTAAATAAATGAAAAAAGTGATTAAAGTAGATGCAATAGTAGGGGTATACCAGAAGGGTTAGTCATTTTGGTGGGGGTAGGGGGGCTCAGAGGTGTCACAGAGGAATCATATTTGAACTGACCCTTGAAGGATAAGTAGGATTTTTTCAGGAAAACAAAAGAATAGTTTATGCACGGGGAAAAGTTTCAAAAAATAGAGGCGGGATATAGCATTGAGAGAATGGGGAACTGCTAACAGGATCTATAGGACTGCATATGGCAAAGGAAGACAAAAAGGGAGATAAAAATAGTATAAATAAGCAATGGGGTACTGCAGTTAAGAAGTTCAGAGGTAGGACAGCTCATGGTAATGAAAGGGTCCTGGATATGGCCATGGGCATGGGTATGAGTAGTTAAGATAGCATTGAGAGGAAAGACCATAAACTTATGGCAGTCACAGAACTATGAGGTTAATATGTTAGATGGGCTCTCTATAGTGATCTAAATGACTATAAGGACCATCTACATGACTGTTTCATTCTAAGAAAAATCTAGACCATTATAAAGTCCATCCATAGTGATTAACAGCCAACAAGCCAATAAGAACATAACTGAAATGAAAGATGATCCTATCACAAAGATTCATGATAGATGTGAAAGTGCAAAGGAATCTGTTCTCAATAAGAAACTACTTTGGTTCCTAACCATCATAATCATTATCAGTGATTCATCTTCATTTCAAAATTAACAATAAATGGGAATTATATAATTATCATCATAAAATGTCATGTTTACAGTTCATTTATCTCTATTGTTTTATTTTAATAAACATTCACTCATTACTCCTTTGACCCTTAGGTGTCTCAACCTTAGGGCATAGAAAGGGATTACAGAATATAAATATCTTATTACTAAAAAGCCTCTTTCAGATTCACATGTCTGTCAAATGTTGCAGAAACTTGTGAAAGTACATGAGTTAAACATGCCTGTTTGTATTTATTTTCATATAACTCTAGTGTGCTTGCCCAAGGGTTTTGAGCTAAGATAATAGATTTACAACACAGAAATGGAAGAATTTACACAATAAAAAAAATCATGAATTTTTACCTATTTGAAATTCTCCAATTACTTTTTGCGAAATAATACTGACATTCTGTGAGAAACATAAATTATCCATTTACTCAAAACTCCCAGGAGTGTGAGTATCCATTAGACTCATTTCTTTTTCTTTTTTTGAGTTGGAGTCTCACTCTGTCGCCCAGACTGGAGTGCAGTGGCCGCTCCCAGCCACCGCAGCCTCGACCTGCTGGGCTCAGGTGATCCTTCTGCCTCAGGTTTCCAAGTAGCTGGAATTACAGGCATGCGCCACCACGCCTGGCTAATTTTTTGATGTATTGCAGAGATGAGGTCTCACTAAGGCTGGTCTCAAACCTGTGGGCTCAGGCAATCCTCTCACCTCGGTCTGGGATTATTGTGTTAGCCACCGTGCCTGGTCTAGACCCATTTCAATATGCTCTCCCTGTACTTCTCTTGATAAATATCAGGGAAAAGATGTATGCTATCATTAAGTTATTAAGTTACAGAGAACAACAATTAAATAATTAGTATTTATTCAGCATTTTTAGGATTGTAATGCTCTTGAGGTACAAGTTTCAATATGACATCATTTCAAGGATACAGGAAAGAAAAAGCTATTTATAGTTACTTTTTCTAAGACAAAAAAATAAATAAATAATACATAAAATTAAGTGACTTCCAAGTTAATAGTATAAGTGATCAAACCAAAAAATAAAATTAAGGATTTTTATCTTTGGTTCAGGACACTATGTTCTAAAAATATGCTGCTTGTGAAGTTAAGATCTTTAGATCTTTCAGGAATTCAGATTCACAAAAATATTATGGTATACCCTCTTAGGAGCCACACATTCTTTTTTTTTTTTTTTTTTTTTTGAGTTGGGGTCTCACTCTGTTGCCCATGCTGGAGTGCAGTGGCATGATGATAACTTACTGCAGTCTTGACCTCCTGGGCTCAGGTGACCCTTCTAAGTAACTGGGACTACAGGCACATGCCACCATGTTCGGCTAATTTTTTAATTTTTCTGTAGAGATGAGGTCTCACTATGTGGTCTGGGCTGGTCTCAAATTCCTGAGTCAAGCAATCCTCCTGCCTTGGCCTCTCAAAGTGCTAGGATTACAGGAGTGAACCACTGACTCTGGCTGCACATTCTTTTTTTTAAAGTTAGCCTTCTTTAATGAAATTATGTTATTTTTAGTCAGTCTGTCTTCAAGTAACTTTTGGCAGTTGGGCAATTATAGAGAGATTTAGAGTCCCAGAGGAGCTTATTCTTACCCTACTTGGAGTGCATCAAAATTCTGTTGTTAGCTTGCAAAAACAAGTAGATTAAGGGAAGTGGGGGAAGTGTTCATTAATATACTGATACCAACTAATATTTTCATTTGAAAGTACAAATGTTCATATTTTAAAAAAATTTTAATTTTACTATCCTTAGTTAATTTTTAAATTTCGAATATATGGTGTACAATTCAGGGTTAGGTATACAAATGTTCATTTTTAGGTACCCTTGTTGATGAGGTATGTGCCCTGCTCCCCTGGCAGTTTCCCACTGCTGCCAACCCTGCATCCCCTCCCCTGGCAGTTTCTCACTACTGCCAATCCCTTTCTTATAGTATTACAATAGTTGTTCAAAGTCTACTTATGAGTGAGAATATGTGATACTTGGTTCTTTATTTCTGTGATAGATCACTCAGTATTATAGGCTCTAAGTCCGTCCAAATATTCATACTCTTGAGAGAAACACTCCCCACTGCTGTTCTTCACTGTTTCACCAAAATGTCATTTTTAGCTTTACTTTCTGTTGAACTACAAGTTCTAGTTCAGTAGCGCAACCAAAATGATAAAATACTTACTGGCTCTGAGAATGTTCTCCTTGCTGCTGCATCTGGACTGGACCTGCAGAGAAAGCATAAACTCAGTAATTTAGGGCTCATAACATGGATAGCCAGATGTACATATTTAATGGGCAAGCTCCTGAGGTCTAGGAGCAAAGGCTTTACATAGCATGTAAAGTACAAATATGTTACATTTGGGTCATATATGTTTAAAATTTACCCTTTCCTTAAAGAAAAAACTGGCTTCCAGAAAAAAAGAACTCTGGAGGTACAGTAGTATTATAAATTAGACAGAGATAAACCAAAGGCATTCTCTTTATTCATTTGTATTTGAAATCAATATATGAAAAAGTTTCAAGTTACCACATATTCAGTTGTAAATAGAGACTTTTAATATTAAGGTCTTTAGCATATCCTTTTACTAGAATAATAATAAAAATTCAAGTAATAAAGCTATAGTCAAATATTCCATTATAGTAAATCTTATTACATATATGTGAATGAGGGAAAAATAGAGAAATCTTCATATATAACATTTAGCTTTGATTATAACCATGTTATTTATTGATTATAATTTATTATAGCTATAATATTGGTTATAAAAGATGATTTTGTTGGAAATCAATAAAATTTAACTCAGTTTTCAGATGTGTATAGAACTTAGCAATAAACCTTTATGCTTTGACTTAAATGTTTAGGTCAAAGTGAAACATTCTAATTGTTGTAAAACTGCTGCATTCAAGAGCCATACTGCATGGCGTTAACATGTTAATTTCAAAGGAAACTGTATTTAAGCTCCACACCTCTTTTCCCACTCCCCAGCAGCTTGCCTCTGATGGATATATACACAACAAATTAATTTCTATAGCTTAACACAATCTACTATCATAATGAAACAACTTATGAAAGGAATGTTGCAACTTAGGGTGGGTTATGGTAGTCCTTCCCTGAAAAGAACAATTGTTAATGTTTAAAGAAACAACAACAACAAAAAGTCACAAACATACACACAAGGAAAAAAAAACACACACACACCAAAACAAAATAAAACAACAACCAAAAAAAGAAAAAAATAATTCCAAATGTTAAAATTATTCTCTTTTGGCCCAAATTGTTTAATTAATTTTAGATACACTACAAGGAAGAATCTAAAACAGAAAATAATAATATATTCTTTTACTCAGAAGTCTCACTGAAGAACAATTCTGGTCCAAATGAGAAAGAAATTAATGACTGTTTAAAGAAAATAATACAGGGAAGAAGACACAAACATGAGGAAAAGAAAAGGAAGAGAAAGAGGTTTGAGGGAGTAACTTTAGACAATAGAAAAGAAAGTATGGACTTATAGAGGGGGACAATATGTAAGTGCAGAATGTTCTGCTATTTCTTGTTGCAAATTCATACCGAGAGGGTAAGAATGACTAATGAACTTGCTGCAAAATAAATAAGCAAGTTGGCATACTGTGGAACAAAAATAAGTGCAACTATACCACTACAGTCTTAAAGAAGAAAAGAAACACACACTAATAGACAAATTAATAGACAAGCTTAATAAAGAGAGAAACTACATTTTAAAAAGTGATTTAAAGAACATAAGAGACAGCTAACAGAGTGAGAGAAAAATCTGGGAGAGAGAAGGAAAAGAAAGGGGGAAATGTTAAAAGACAAAAACAGAGTTCAAAGAAGTCAAATGAAGTCAAGAGTCTTCAACAAGATGTAGAAACAGAAGGAGCCCAAACCCATAACGCAAAGCAATGTTTGCGAATGGAAAGTAGCTCCTTTGATCAGTAATAGTTACTCTTAAGTCGTAGCCTCTATTCCTCCAGAGTTCATCTTTAAGCCCTTCCAATCTAGAGTGGAGCTAGTGTATGGATAGAAACAAGAGATTTACAATGAACAGAGCAGTTCAGATGAGTAGTTCAAATTGTCTCATAAAATGTTCCAACAGCTTTATATAATGCTTATTATATACATTACATAATGTATATAATTGGAAATGATGGCGAAAAACTAGCTGGCTTTACCAAAACAACAACAACAAACCCAAACCAAACCAAACCAACAATAAAATGCCCTCTGCCCTTCCCTAGGTGGCTCAAAAATTAACAAAAAATTATTTGTAACATGAATAAAGAAACCGAAGTGTTGCTTTGTGGCACCTCAGTTTAGAACTGTATATTTCAAACAGCTGGGAGGAGAAATCTAGATGGTGAAAACAGTTCAATTTCCTGAATCTGAGCATTTATCAAGTTTCACAAATTGCCAACAGCAGTATAACCAACATTTTTTACACCAACATTACATTGGCTATTTGAACCAGATTTGGGGAGAACAATTATCTCTAATTATAATAATTTACTTTAGTGATACTTTGTGTGTGTGTGTGTGTGTGTGTGTGTGTGTGTGTGTGTGTGTATCATTGAGGAAAATAATTTTTAAAAAACTTTGCTTACTATTTGTGCAAGTAGTAAATGACCCTGTGTCTTGCACTATGAAGCTAGCCATCTTTATCATATTTCCTTAATTTTATAAAATCTGAATTTGAAGATTTTATCTAACTCACAATGTAATGAAAGTTATTTGAAAGGATAAAAATGAGAAACAGCTACTGTTCTCATACATATGGACTATAATGAAGGTAACACAGGTCTGCTCAAGTTTTATGGTTTGTTGTTGTTTTTTCCTTTATTTTACTCTGACTTTACTCAATGAAAAAAAAAAGGAAAGCCTAGAAAACAAAGTAAAACTGAGATTTTTGATTAATATCAAATTTGTCAGGGATTAAAAATAAAGGGTGTGATATCACAGTACCTACTACTTTCTTCTGTTAGATCATGTTATTTTATTACAACTGGAATCTAAACTAAAATAACATGTGTAAACAGTGTATTATTTTAAAGTCAATGGAGGAAATAAAAAACATGAGGGACTTATTGAAAACACAGGTATTCATTTACTAATCAAGATCGCTTTGAGATATCAAATAATTCATTTCAACATATGTGTACATATGTAATATAATTTTTGCTGAAGGTCACATTGTCCATTAAGAAATCTTAAGAATGAAATAGAAAGCAGAAGGAGGAAGAGCACATAATAAATGGTAAGGAACAAAAGTGAAAATGCCTTTAAAAAAAGCTGAGAAAATTTTAACAAACAACCACAATCTGTAGATACAGTTAGAGAAATCACTTACCTTATGCTTAGGTCATTACAAGAATAGCACAGTGTTTAAAGTCAGCTCTTCATTATGGGAGGTACAATTGAAAGCCATAGGTTATAATAACATGAATTGCTACACAGAAATGAAGACTTTTTCAGCCCAACATGAAAAGCTAACTCTTATGGGAGAATATTTCAAATTATGTTTAATGAAACATGAAGAACAATTGAAGGTGTAAACATCAAAACACACCAAACACATGAATTTCACACCAAAAAGAGAGAGATGGTTCAATCTCTCAGGACACAGAAGATTTATTCTGTGACCATAATCTGTGACATACAAGGGAAGGCACATCACTCTAACAGTGAAAGATGCATGCATAATATATTATCATCCATCCATCCACCCTCCACCCACCCCACTAGTACACACACAAGTCCACTAAGGTTCAGGGAAAGAATGTAGTGCCAAGCTGTTATGAAGAAAGCAGGACACACAGAAGCGCAGCAGTGGTCATGTGATTTGAGAGGTGTTCTTCCCTTAAACCATCCCATCACCATGCTTATTTTAAAGAAGCCAGGAAAAGATCCCCTTTCAATGCTGCAATAGCTACGAGCCCCCAGCTTGAAGCTAGTGAGTGGAATTTTGATCACCGTTCCCTGCGATGTCAGGGGCTCTCCAGTGGAAGCCAGATATGTAACACCAGTTAGTGGGGTACAAACGTGTGAATAACAAACATCCTTTCCCTTCTGCATTTCACAGAAGTGAGGGAGGAGAGAAACAACAAAAAAAAAACAATGTTGAGGATAGGTTCATAACAATATAAGAATGTATGAATATTAAAAGGAGATTACATTTGATTGCAAGTTAACACAAATCAGTTTTCACAAAAACTCCTCTATTTTGCTGCACACCAGGCTAATTTGTATTCTTTTTCTCATAAATGCTATACAGTATGGCTCATATTGAAAAATTCTGTGCACTTGGTTAGATGGGATCAAAGTAAACAACAAAGTCATCTTCTTTGATGGACATTAGGAAACTTTTATTTCCCCTAATTTTAGCACAATTTTACTGGTCAGTAATCACATTTTAAATTAGAAATTAAGCTTCTGTAATCTGCTTACTTATATAATCTGAAAAGTTCTATGGTTTGGACAGACAATTTAAATTTCAATCTTTCTACACTGTTAAAAGCAAACAACAAAAAGGCCACCAATTTAGAAACTAAGTTTTCTATGTATTTTTCTCTACCATCAATAAAACATTTAACATGGGTTATTCTTGTCAATAAGGGGGTCATTTCAACTCATCAGAAAAAATTTCAACTTTGCTTTCCTATTACTGATGACAGTAGTTAGCTTCATCCATTTTATTCTTTTTGTATACGATAAATTTAATTCATGTGTGATATCGCAACTTTGTTGGCAAATGTGTAATTATTCAAAAATCATGTACTTATATTACGATTTTCTCTCTCTCATTTTATTCTTAGCAGGCCAGGATAGCTTGACTTTCCCTTTAGCACAGCTTTGGTATTTCAAGATCTAGGCCTTCCCATAATTTCCATTTTCTCGTGGGAAAAATAAAGATTGTTCTCAAAAGAGATAACACATGTATCATTGATTTTAAGTTATAAAAATGGAAACAAATGTCAGTAGTTGTTATGACTGATGGAGCATTGACAGTTGTAAAATAACTCTGATTACATATGCCCCTCATTATAGCTTTCTCATCAGTTCAAAATAGAGGCAAGCTCTTATTTTTTAGCCAAATAGAGGGGGGAAATATCCACGTTCAGGTACATGTTTTTCAACAGGGATTGGCAAGAATATTTGACAAATGTCATAGCCATATGGCCATATGTACTGGTAGAACTATAAGCTATGCAATCT